AAAGTTGTCAAATAATTTCAGTCCAACCCTTAAGGGTCCAGTGTGACAGCCTAAAACATATGACTTTTGGGAATTGAAAAAAAACTTTTGTATTAATTATTTTAAATTTCCAAGAGTACCATATATTTAAACATATCTTAAAAAAACCGGTAAAAGAAAATAATTAAATATTTTTCGAGTTCGGAAAAACAAACACTGGCAAGATGTAACGTTTTTTAAAAAAAAGTCAAATTTTACCCAAATATTTTGTTGTTTTTCGCCTGCCAAAATTAGTTTTTTAGATGGTGATCGGATCATTTTTCTCCGAAAATATCGCAAAATACAACAGGAAAAAAATAAGTTTTTCAAAATTTCACACTAGCTGTACCTCACGTTTAGCGTATGAAACGACTTAGAGAAGACCTGTATTTGCTTCTCAAAAAGTGTTTTGATTCTTTAATATTATCTCAATTTCTACAAGCACCTCATTTTCATATGAAAACATTTTTTTTTTATTGTGTTAACTACTTTCCTTTTTACTCCATCTCAATTATTTGAAGTATTATGTACAGCTAAGATAACGCATTCATTTTCTTCGTTCCCACAATATTCGGGTATATGTAAATGAAACAGGCGAGAGTTTATTTACCGGACAAAAAATATCCCTCAGCGGCTTTCTCCAAGAAGATGTAAAATGGTATGATATTATTAAGTCCAAAAGTGACAACTGACAGGCTCAATTTCAAGTCCGTTCTTTGCAGAACTGCTCCCCGATTTGGATTATACGTTTGACTCACCATCCCAGCCAGAAGACTCAAGTAGTTTTATCTTGTGTATTACCAAGACGTCTTTACGAATATTTTTAGTCGAACCATTGTTACGCCCATAAAATGTCATCCATTAATATAAACCTGTAAAATGCTATAACTATGCAAAATACAAAATTTGGTTCAAGGAATCATAGAAGAGAGGAGTATTTGCGGTTTAAAAAGTTGCTACCCCGCCCGCTGATAAAAGGTCTTTGTAGCACATCTTTACATGTTACGTTCTGATTTTTTCACTTTATAGTATAGAAATCAAAAACCAATGACTCAATTGAATTAAAATTTTGTACAAATAGTACATTTACGATATGCCATCCCACGTCTAAAAATATTGGAAATTGGACCAGAACTTTTCAAGGCCCCAGATACCGAATATAGCTAATTTTTTTACAGAATATATCAGTAAAATTCTGAGGTGTATTATTGAAATTCATAAAGAATATTTTCCTTATAATAGTGTGCTCTTGGGTCAAAAATGAGCTAAATCGATTGAATACTTATATTAGCCCCCATATACCTTTTATTGTATAAAGATTTTCGAACTTCCAGTTGACTTTATAACGTATATACCGGTCAATATGTGAGAAATCTTAAAGAAATTCAGAGAGCATCTCCCTGATAACAACGCGTCTTTGTGAAATTGTAAAATGAATAAAATCGGGTCTATACTTCCTCTAGCTTCCATATAGTATATTATATAAGAATTTCAAAATTCCGCTTGGCTTTCTACCGTATATATCGGTCATTATGCAAGATATCTTATCAAAATTAAGTGAACTAATAGTATTGGATTACACTACGGCTTAGTTCCGAAAATGTATGAAATTTGTTCACGAGTCACCCCAACTCCCTGCAATAGGAGTATGCATATAATTATTTTCGTTTTTCTTTCAGACTAAATGCTGAATATGACGGTTAGTGTGTAAGTTAACATTCATAAAATTGCTTGGAGGTATGTTCTTGAGTAGACTTTATTAATGGCAAAAGTTAATGCAATCAGTCCAAATTTTCCCTTAGCCCCAATAGACGCAAATATTTTCTATCCATTTTGACATTTTGTCTGACTTTAGGGAACCCGTTTATTTCGGTCAATATGTATGTGGTATATTTTAATGAAATTAGGTGGACAAGCTGTTTTCCTTTTTAGTCCTAATATTCAACACATAGCGACTTTCGAATGTTGGCTTTTTTCTCAGATACCCAAATACCAAATTTAGTCTCTTTTCTTGAGTTTATATTACATATTTCTCGTTTCAATTAGCTTGATTTTAATACACATTTTTTCGACGCGAAGCAAACTGTAGTAATGCAAGTAAGTGAGCTTACGCCATATAATATACATAGATTAATAATATACCGAATTTGATTGTAATCCCTTCGGTTTCTTCGTTAAAGCATGTTAAATTCTTACGCAACATTTTTTTCTTATAAAGTTTTGCCCAATACCTGAAAGTGTATGTAAGATGTGATCCTTGAAAATTGAGTATAGTATGTTCGGCTACACCCGATCTTAGCGCTTCCTTACTTTCTTTTAATTACCATAAATATTAATAACATATAATTTAACATTGAGAGTTTTGAATTTGTCAATATATTTTATATTATATATTCAATGCAACCTTATTTGTGTATAATGCAACCTATCGCGTTTGACTAGCATCACCTGAACTTAACACCTAGTGTGTTAATATTTCGGGGAATTTTCTACAACAAAACTAAAATCTCAAGCATGCCAACGAAAATGATATGCTAGCGACCACGCACACACATACACACATCATCCACAACACATACAAGTGCATAATTGGAATTAGATGTAGTAGGTCATTGTCGCTAGTGATTTGTTTTCTCTATGGCCATTGGGGTTTTTTAATCAAAAGAACAGCTTTGAATTCAGATGAATTTTGAACGCTATTTCTATTCTAATTTACCTCGTGTTTCAACGAATATGCAGTGAGGTATAGAAGAAGGTTGCCATATGCAATTTTACAACAAATTATTTTCTGTTACATTAAAACAAACGATACCCAAAAACTCATAATGTGTAAGTAATACCTGTGTCGGAATCTACATTTTAATATACAGCATGATGTCAATATATATGTATTTATTCAAGCGCATCTAATTATGTACATATATAAAGATTAAACAACGCAAACCAGATCTAACCAAACTTTCCATTCCAATTGCCTCAAGCAAAAAACAGCTTCCAAAATTCCCATATTACCTTTTTCAAAGAATAAAAGAAATACATGCACAATGGGAGACGAAATTAAAAATAATAGCTGGAGGCATTAAAATCTTGGATATTAAAAATAATGAGACAGCACAAAATGAAAACGCTAAAAAAAAAAAAACAAAAAAAATAAACAAATAAGTGGTTAATAGTGCAAAATCTGCAAACAATTTTGTTAGATACCTTCACTTAGGCCTAAAGATAAGAAGAGACTTTCCAACAAACAAATGAGAGAATCACTGACTACTAAGTACTTGGCAAAGTGGGCAAGAGCCTGAATCACCTAACAAAGATCTCGTACAATGTATGAAAATTTAATAAAACTAGTATGTAAATTCCATTCACTATCCTGGCAAAAGCGTGTTATTCTGCTATTACTATTATCAAAAACTACAATATAATAAAATATAAAATTGACTCTCGGTTATGCAATTAACGTGAAATGAACAAATTCATTTTGTAAGCACTATAATTGTAAAGATATGTATTTATATAGAATAGGATAGGCAGAGGTGCAGTCAGTATTACATTCTAGTAGAAACGAAGTGTTGAAAAATTTCCAAAAAAAAAAGCTTTTGAAAACTGTTTTTTTTTCTCTTCGCAAAGCTCGAAAACGACTGAAAGATTTTTCTGCTAATGAGGATTCTACATTGGTTTTTAAAGATATTTCTTATCACATCTATTCTCATGAAAGAGCTGCTAATATAAATAAATATATATTAATAATATGTATAATTCACGTAATACAAACTATTAAGTTGATTAAAAAATTTATTGATCATTTTTAACAAATTTAATTTCAAAATCGTGCATAATATTATATAATTTCACGAATCGCTTTAAAAAGGATTCATATTGTGGATCGTCTGGAGAAAGTACATGTGTTCTTATATTTGATTGTCAATACCATATGACTTAATTGCAGATTGTACAATTTAGACTTTATTTTATTTCTTTAAAATAATTTTACAAAATTTTTCTTCTAATTCTGAAGAATACTTCAAAAGCCTTGTGCTTTTATAAAATCATTCAAAGCTTTCAAAGTATGGATGATGTTTAAAGTTGCGAGGTTGCGGCGGAGATTAACTTAAATTGGATAAAACTAGCTATTTTATATAATACATAGATACAATTTCACAAGAATGTGAGTTAAAAATCTTAAATAATACAAAAAGCTTTACACTATGAAGTTACCGAATTCCCTATTATTACTGAATAGTCGATGCCTGAAATTTTTTATTAAACCAAAGCTATTTCTAGTTTAGTGTACATTTTTCGTTCATAAAAAGATTTTGAATATATTTATTTATGAAAATATTGACTTTTGGAATAAAAATCAAACCTTGTTTAGCAAATTAAATAAAATCAGTTTTAAACAGTTTCAAATAAATAACTTGATTTTGATTGATCAGTTTTTATGGTAGCTATATGCTATAGTGATCCGACGAACAAACAGACGGACATTGCTAAATCGACTCTATATACATACATTTTATAGGGTTTCCGGCATTTCCTTCTGGGCGTTAGAAACTTCATGGCGAATTGAGTATATAAATATACTTACCGTCAGGGTATAACAGATGGTAATCTGTACTACATAATTTTATACAATTATATATTATTATTACTCTACTGGAAATTAATAAAATTTAAAAAACCTTCAAATTATGATTGTTTGTAATTTTTTAAGCAAAACGCCATACTGGCTTCTTTCTAAATTTAAGTTGATTAGCTTCTCACTACGTTATATAATATACAATATGTAATTCAAAATGTCCAGTTCTGTTAATATGAACATCTTTACATGCATACTGTTAAGTCTTCGAGCAATACCAGCAACATAGTTAGTACTTTCTTTAGGAACATCACAGTTATTCTAAGAAAGCCATTATGATTGCATGAAGGCAGCCAAAGTAACATAGATTAATACAATACTTTCTAAAAAAGTTATATTTATTTTTTTATTTATTGTTTCTCAAAAATCACATATTTTACACCACATTTCTTAAGGATTTAACGCCCTTATTCAACGAGTAGCAATTTCAAGGTCAAATCGGTTGAACAAACAAAAGATTTCGACAACAAACTCGCTGCGAAATTCGCACACATGCGCATTCATCGTCGTACCCTTGCTAGTAACTTCACGAATGCTATCGCCTTCACAATCGCCTTCTACAGCGACAAGGCAGTAAGTTAGAATGCCAAAATCACCGACCGCGCATAGTGACTACCTTGCGGCATTGAAGAACGCCTACTGTGACCGATAAGCAGGTAGACGGCGACCATCTGGCGAGCATTGCGACTAAAATATATGGTCCGCAGACAGTTGATGCACAAGCGTTTGCTAATGATTGCTCTTTAAATTTATGAAAGATAAAAATTGTCTAAAAAAACGATAACATGAAAGCCACGAGTGGAGCCTTAGGAAAACATAAACAGAGAGCATTTCTGCAGTGAAATGTCAACCGGTTAGAGGCGGTTCACAGGCAGTTTGAGAGCCAGGAAAGCACAAACAATACAAGCGGAAACTACCAGCAACCGACGAACGCACTTGTTAGCTTGAAAGATTTAATGAAGGCGAAAGAGCACAGGTAACACAACACATACTCGTATGTAACTATATCAGTGAAGTAATTGAGCGCAGTAGAATTTTTGAAAATGAAAAACTCGCTTAACGCGACGCGGTGTCTGCGGCATGAATAGCGTGAATTTTGAAAATATCTGGCACTAACAGAATTCGTTGAGAATAATGCGACAACAACAATTAAGCAAACATAATAAACACAGCATCGAAATAAACAAATAACATACACGAAAATATGTATGTGAAAGCTTTCAAAGGAAAAAAATGCAAAGCCAACAAAAAAATGAGAGTAAATACATACAAATGTTAGTAAGAGCACTAAAAGCCGAACGATCGATCCACTGCCGACTCTGCTCAGCTGCGCTGACTGACGATCAACGACAAGCAGCCGAAAATGACTCGGCGTTGACGAAGCAAATAATCGCTTTGATTTTTATAAAGACACCGTTTGAGCCAAGTTCGAAAACAGTTTAGTTTGAAACATCATCGTGGTGAGATAGTTATTTAAATGCTAAATTTGTACCGGAACAAATAACGGTCAAAGTTAGTAAAGCTATATGCACATACGAAAAAAAGAAAGAAAATCTTGTGTGTGCCAGTATAAATAAATAAATACATTTAATTGACAAGAAAACCGCTGCAGCGTTTATAAAGTTAAACAGTTATAGTGTTAAACAGTGTCTGAAGCACTTTAAACGTTCACAAACATACGTAATAGCGGCTCAGGTTGGGTGCTATGAGCGTTTAAATCGCCTTTCATAAGTTTTATAAGTGCGACAAGTCAGTGTTTTGATGAAAAATGCCAATAAATTTGTGCTCGTAAACTAGTGAATAAAACAAAGCCCTGTTGAAATTTGCATGCATTCCCCTATTGTTTTGAATTGTGGCGCTGACTCCTAATCAAACAAAAAAATGTAAGCATTCCAAAATATTATATGCATATGTGAGTATGTATGTATGTAAATATATATGAGCACTTGACAGAAAAAAAAATAAAGTAAACTAATGCAACTATTCAAATTGTAGTAAAATAATTAAAATCGATAAAACTTTAACCAAAGATAACTTTTATAATATGTTCCAAAACTCTTTTATATAAGTTTCTAATTTCAATATTAGTTGAATAATGTGCTGCTTTTGACTTATATGTATATATCTTTGCTATACTTATACTATTTCAATTCTTTTCAACACTACTTTCGATTTTTCATATAAAACTAAAACTATCAAAAATATTTTAGCTGATCTATTTGCTGGCATTCGTTACTGCTGTCAACTAATACAATTAAGAATTAGTTAAGAAAAACTTAAGTATTGATGATGTTGCTGACATTTTAGTAAGACGCCACTATAAATAATATAAGGAAATTTCTTCATTATTGAAGTAAATAAAAAAAAATTAATTTAAAGTAACGAAAATTTCATGAAAAAAATGTTGAAAAGACATAAAATACAAAAAAATGCAAGAGCTCAATATACCTAAGTACGAGTACATATGTAAAGTAAATATAAATGCATTTTTTAAGAAAAAGCTAGAACTATGCAAACTTTCGCTCACAGAAGAAACTACATATGTTACTCAAAAGCAAAAGAGTTTAGAAAATTGTAACACAATGAGTTTCAAACTTAACACAATTAGAAAAAAAACACAAATAAGACTAAAGCTTATAAAATTAATAAAACTGAAAAAATATTGAAGTTTTCAAAGTTATCAAAATAAAAAGGAGTTTTGAAGCATTCAGCTTTTGCTAATGCAAGAATATTATTTTTTTAAAGTGTAAAGCTGTGCTATACCAGCACTTTCAGCTCACTTTTGCATATATACATATTGTGTACCATAAGTCTGCCGAAAATAATATTTTTGTTTGTAGAAAAATGTCTGAGTAAAATAAAAAGCGAAAAAAATCCTGAATCAATAAAAAATATATTATATCAAAGTGACTTTTTAGTTAAATTGGAACGATATATTATATTTTAAATTGTCTTACATAAAAAATCAAATCGTGGCAAGGCGCTTTTCTAGAGAGCGTGTTGGCATTTACATCTGCAAACACCGATTACATTAGAATAGTATTCCTAATAGCAACCGCGAGGTGTTTTTGTAACAATTTTTGTAAAACAATTTTCAAACTCTCCTTCGAGAATAGCTGTGACAATCCATTTTCTCGCTATCTACGAAACGATCTTTTTCAGCACTCATCACGATTATTTCTCTAAATCTGCTGTAATAATAATAATGTCCACTTTTCTAGGACCTACACTCTCCAAATTAAAACATATATTGTACATTAATAAAATAAATTTATAATATATTCATATCTTTAAAACAAAAAATGTATTTGTGAAATTCTAAGGACTAAAGTGCTAATTTTTATAAAAAAACAAATGATTTGTACTACCAGACTCCGGCTCACTTAGCTTGTTTATAGGTATACATATAAAATACTAACATTTTTCTTAAATGCTTAATATGTATTTGTTTTAGAAACTAGAATACATTTTTGGCTAGTTTCCTTTAAGGATTAAAACAAAATTTATTTCTAAATTTCCAGAAGTCGCTTTTAAAATTCAAAATCAAAGCCTACCGAATGATGGATACAAAGTTACGCATAAGCATAAAATTCTCAATATGTTTCCACTTTATCCGATTATTTTACAAAGTCAAAGTAAACTTTTTATTTCACAAGTAGCTGTAGCTATAGCAATATATCATACGAGAATATTTATGTATGTAAATATACAAGGAATCGCGTGCAATAATTGTTAGCAAAAACACAAATGTACGAGTACTTATGTATGCACATACATCTATATGTATGTGAGAACATATGTTAAGGAAAATATTTGCAAGTTTCTTGAAGCAATATTTCAATAAAATAAATTAACTTAATTCATTCACATTGTTGTGCGCTGGCTCAGATATATACAGACATCCTAAATTTAGGCTCTCAACCGGCTGTAATTTTGGTTTTTCTTATAAAAACTTGTATATGAGCTGTTCTTTTTCAACATCACGCACAAAAATTTTGTTTATCATAATTCGACAAATCTTATTACGACTATAGTAATGTAAAAGTTTTAAATAACATACAAATGCAATATAAGTAATGCAAATCTAATACGAGCAAAGCTGAGAGCAAAAACAAATTCATTTAATGTTTCTTTAGTAATATGTAGAAAAAGCATAAGTCGACTTAAGATAATGTTAAATTGTGAAATGGTTCGACTTAAGGCATTCTTAATCTAAAAAGATAACTCAGAATTGATAACTTAAAGCTTACATAAAAATTTAAATATAATTATAGCTAAAACTTTACTTAAGAAATCAAAAAAGCTACCTTGGCTTAAGTTAACTTAGACTCCTTTTACTTATTGCTACGGAAATGTATTGCATTGTATATACATATATACATATGTATGTACTGTATATCACTACTGTGTTTACGTTTTGCAAATAATTTACTAAATACGCAAAATATCCAAATACAAAAACATAAAAATAATAACTCAAGAATGTAAAAAAATAGCACAAAACGGAAACGTCGTCATTAATTAAATCTCATATTTCATCCATTGCAGCAAAATTCCGAACTAACAACGCAGAAGGAAGAAAGAACACAAAAACACAACAACTTTTTATAAATTCCAAAAACAAATATTAAAAAAAATATATCTACACAAATATTTTTCCCTGCAATCTGATAACGACGAAATACGAGCAGCAGAGGAATTGCAAAAACAAAAAAATACTCGCAAATAAAAGTGAAGAAAAAACAACACTAACGAAGAGTTTAGCACAAATTAGTGGCTGTGTGTGCGTCTGCGCGCGAATTCTACGCCAACAAGCAAATACTTTCACAACGACAGCTGAACACACATAGAGGAAGTGACAAGTGACAGGTAGTCGGTTGCAGAAGTGACAAGTGCGCATACACAATGAAGACAAATCCCGCATTGGATCACGTGTATGTGAACGATGGTTTCAAGTGTTCTTCGATCAGCATTACAACGAACGGTACGGAACAGAACGGTGGTAGTGGCGGATCGCAAGGATCAAACGAGTTTATATGTAAGTACAATAATGCTAAAGTACTTGTGTCTTATTTGTTCGAAGGTGTACAGTGCTATCAATATTTTTTTTTGTATTAATGAATGTACTTGTGTCATATTTGTTCGAAGTTGTACAGTGCTATCAGTATTTTTTTTTATTAATGAATGTATATTAAAACAAAAAATCAGCAAAATCAAGATTTAACCTTAAAAAAACTTCAGTGTTTATATTTTGAAGTGAATTATTGAAAGCTACTTCACATTTACTTTCCTTAATTCCACTTAAACCTAACTCGCTGAGGTATTAGTAAGTAATTACTCGGTGGTACCTCATAAAATTAAATTCGAATTTCCATACTGCAGTCCTTAAATTGGTTCGTCAATGGTTTGGTTCCAATGTTCGAAATAATTTGTGATTATTACGGCAAATATATGGTCACTTTTTCAAAATTTTATCATCTTAACAAATTTCAAGAACCTACATTTTATTGAGTGGTTATATACTTGAAGATTATAATTTAAGAATACGTCATTGCTCTTTTTTTGCTTGTGGCAGAGCAAGATTGATAAATACAGGATGTTATCCCCGTTACTTTTTTGGAGAGCGTTTGACACAAAAATACTTTAATTCGTGAAATAGTGAAGGAAAGGTGGTGAAAGGATAAATTACTATGAGAATTTGACATCTCGTTTATGATCTCTCAAATTATTATTCCTGCAAGTGTTGTCATGATGCAGAAATCAAAATTATTCATGTCAAAAAAATTTTACAATCGCACAGTCGCTATATATAAGAAATTATATAGTAATAATACCCTTCATATTCCTCCATTTATATGCTATATATACATTTATATGTCTAATATATAATATAATATATATAAATATATAATATAATATATACTAATTAAATTAACTGAATAACATCACTTCTAAAAATGCAAGAATAACAACAAATCAGGCTTAGCAGCTGTTTAAGATACAGCTAGAAATATTAAAAAAAACATGTTTAGACATAAATAAACGTGTCATTAACCTTATTATCACCTAAATCCACGTTTGCGCTTGCATAAAAAGTGTTTTGACATATAAAAAGAATAAAATATATGTACAAATATAGCAACATACATATATATGTGTGTACATATATGTTTTTATGTATATTATGTGCATTCGAAACAACTGTCAAAAGCCTGTTGAGCGATCTCTACGTTTGAAGCGGCAAAGGTAAATATTGAATATAATGAGTACCAATTATGGCTCATTTCGAATTCAGCTGTCATACAAATTGACACTTACACATTTGCACGCCTTTAACAACAAACATACAAAATATGTACTCGTATGTACATATGTATGTCAGCATATACTCAATTCCGCAGCACGCGAATTAATGTGTCAATTTGCAAATATTTTAACTGCTTTCCCTAAATACACGCATACAAAATTAGTAAGAATAAATATTAGGGATGTTGTGTATTTTTTGAAACAAAAAAATAGTTTTTAATTGTTTAGATTTTTTATAATTAATTGGCTATAAAATGTTGCTAGTTTTATAAGATTCGATTAGAATTAAAAAACTATTATTTATATTTGTACATATGTATATATCTTTAAAATAAAATTTTATTCTTCACTATGGACCCTTTGGGTGCTTTCTTGAGCTTTTTACATGCTACAGTATAGTCCATAGATATTTCTTATTAAGTTTGATTTTAATGAAACAAAGTTTGGGATCCCGTGTAAATGCGACCCGCTCGGTTTTTACTTTAAATTACCGAATTTCGCAGAAAAACGTTTATGTACATGAAATAACTGTGAACATCTTTTACTCTTTTAGTTAAAAAATTTTAAATTTTACCCTAACGTCTGATTTTCGATTTTTTTTACCAAATCAAAACAGGTCATTATATGGGGAATATTCTGGTACTTTTTGATGTTAATGCTCCGCTCTGTGCGAGTCTTTTGTCAAGGAGTTAGGAATTTCAGCTTAAAACACACAAAACGATCATCACTATAATATTAGTCACAATATTCATTATATTTATATTTTAGTTTTTTCTAGATTTTGTTGAATTATTTTCTTCATATTTACAAAAAATGCTGGATATCATTTTAACTTAAAAATAAATTGATGGTTACTGTAATCAACAACATTCGTGACACAAAATATCCTTTATATAAACTTTATATATTTCTAAACTTTTCACACAAAATCTATCCCTAATGTATATTTATTATACCTAAATATCTGCAGATTTATATAGCAATATATGGTATATACACAGACATAAGCCTTATTACAATACGTCTCCATCGCGCATGTGAAAAGATTGAGGAATTGACTAAAGTACGTCGCATATTACGTTACCGCAATATTTTTCATTTTTTTCACGGTTTGAGTAAAAAATCAAATTCCACACCGGTTCGCACGCCAGCGCTATTAATTGAAAGGCGGCCAGCGTCAATTCGCTGCGCTATTGAACTTGTCTCCACCACTATTTATATTGAGAGTTAGCGTGCAGTTGTCATTGGCAGGCGTTAAGTCTTACAATAAATATGCATACGTAAATATTGAAATACCAAATTAGTGCACATATAGCTAACATACAGCGTAGGTATAAAAAAAGCCAACAAATTCGTGTGTGGAAGATCTCCAACCGCTTAACCAAACATCGTTCATAAATTATTTTATCGTTGACAAACGATAAAAACATATATGTATCGATAAATGTCCGCTAAATTTTTTTATTAGGAATATAGATTCTTTCGGACTACTGCTCCAAAAGAAAAAAAAACCATTTTAATCCGACGCCAAATTCTGCTCACTCAAACTCAACCCTACTTCCCTATAAGCACTTATTAATTTACTGCTTCTAACTCAGCATCACCTAATCAATCACATAATATGCAGCGCATTTTATTGAGGAAACCTTTTTACCTGATTGATTATAACTTTTTTTTATTTAACAACAAAAACAATTCAAGGAAAAGTATACATTCGAAAAAATAATACACTTTAATAATAGGAAATCCTTAATTGTTAATTGATAGACAATGCAATAAAATAAAGTGAGTTTTCTACTTAGTTAGAAAATCATTTAATTGCTATCAAAAACAATACGTCATATAATAAATTATTAGCTGCCTATGTAGTAGCTCAACACACCCACACAATTACGAAGCGCGGGAAAATTGTTGCCACCAACACAAAATACATTGGAATGATCATTATAATTACGTTGAATAGTGAGTTTAACTCAATAACTGTACAGTGTGCACCCTTGGCAATGAAAATTATATAGTTAGCGAAATATACAAAAATAATAACAACAATCAAATTGTAGTTAGTCCGCTGTGGTGCGTTAAAATGACTCATGAACTGTTGAGCGAGTGTTTTTCGCACACTTTTTGTTTGAGCTCGATAAATGCTTTTCCGCAGCGCTGCACATGAGTTATTTTCACAGACAATCTTTTGAAAGTACAATGGACTTACGCTAATATAATATATAAAGGTATTATATATGTGTATATATATATGAGTATATATACATATATATGTAAAGATTTGTTTGCTTTAAATCATCGAATTAAAAATAAACTCGTGATTATTTTTTGTACAGAAAAATATTTGTAGTGCTGATTGGAGGTCAAAATCACTAGATTTTATTCAATTTTCGGAAAAAATATCAGTTATCGAAAGTTTTGACCGAATCTAGTACAATCAAATATTTATTCTTCAATTAATGTCGTCCCTTGTGAATTTTAGGAAATTTAACCGACTTATCCGCTACGATCGACAAATTTTATATTTTAAGTAATTTAGTCGAAAATTTTCGGATATGGGAGTAATATATGTTCTAAGTTTTTTGGATATATTTCATGATGTTTGGGCTATCTATGATACACGTAGTAGGTCTTATTGTGTCCCGATTTCACTCATTTTAAAACTATGCTAAGAGAGCATCACGGAAATATTATTAACCGAACTCCTTCAAATCGGTCAAGTAGTATGCCGAACCACGAAAAAAAACAATTTTTAATTGATTCTAGTACAACAATACCATTCCTCCTTATTCTAACTTTTCTGCCTAATTTTGTGTTTTCGACGTTATACTACAGTACCTTCTTGCACCATGTTAATTTTAATATTTCGTTTTCAGAAGTAAGTCGTTTAAGTAACGATTATATCACTTATATAAAAAATTAATAAGTAATTTAACCCTTTATTTTAACTTTCTCGTATTTTATAACACTTTCTATAATACTTCCGTTTGTATCTCTTTCATGCAGTAACTGAAGACGGCAAAAAAATGATTCCACCTATTAAGACAATGGACTGTGCCAAAGCATGGGTACAAGATCGCACCAGACGCACCTTCAATCGTAAGACGCTCTACAAACGCCTGCCCATACTCAATTGGTTACCGAAATATTCCAGAGATGATGCTGTCGGTGATGTGGTTGCCGGACTCACTGTTGGTCTAACCGTTATACCACAAGCGCTAGCGTATGCTGGAGTAGCCGGGCTGCCTGCAGCAGTAAGTTGAAGTCTTAAAAAAACGTGTATTTTTTAAAAGTTCAGAAACAATTAACTTGGAGGCGCTAAACTTTTTTTCAGTGCTTATTTTCAAATTATTTTTTATTATATTTTATTATTGTTATTTTTTTTGTTTTATTAAATCTAAATTTTTTATTGTTTTCTATTTACAGTACGGTTTATATGGTTCCTTCTTAGGCTGTTTTATTTACATTTTCCTCGGCAACTGCAAGGATGTGCCCGTGGGTCCCTCCGCCATTGTGGCGTTACTGACGTTTCAAACTGCCAAGGGTTCATGGCAATTAGCGGTGTTACTCAGCTTTCTTTGTGGCATTGTTGAGTTATTTATGGGCATTTTCGGTTTGGGTTTTCTGCTGGATTTCGTTTCCGGTCCCGTCTCTTCTGGTTTCACATCGGCCGTTTCACTGATAATTGTTGCATCGCAAGTGAAAGACATATTGGGTATACCGGCGCCTGGTACGACATTCCTGGAAATTTTAACGCATATTTACGAAAATATCAAAGAGACACGCGCCTCCGATACAGTATTGGGCCTCACATGCATTATGGTGCTACTGATGATGCGGGTAAATTAAAATTAATTATTTCCTTAATCCAAGCCTGTTTTAGTTTTATTGTTATTATTATTATCATCATATTGTTGCCAACAGCTGCTGTCATCGTTTAAGCTCGGTCCTAAAGATCCCATGTTGCGCTCGAAGACACAGAATGTGCTTAACAAAATCATTTGGCTCATTGGCACCTCACGCAATGCCATACTTGTAATTGCCTGTGGCATTTTGGGTTATATTTTACACAGCGATGATGGCAATATACCGTTCCGTGTCATTGGCTACATTCCCGAGGGCATGCCCGCCATACAACCCCCACCATTCCATATGTCGGCCAATGAAACTGCCTCTGGGCATGAAGAAGGCTTCATTGATATGGTGAAAAATTTGGGTTCTGGTCTTATTGTGTTGCCGCTCATATCGTTGATGGAAACTGTCTCTATAGCCAAAGCTTTTGGTAAGACTTTTAGCTTAGCAATCTCCAAATTTTTTATACAAAAATATATTCTTTATTTAAACAAATAATTATCTATCAATAGGCAATGGCAAACCGGTCGACGCCTCACAGGAGCTCATCGCTATTGGTATTGCAAATATTGCTAACTCGTTCGTGCAGAGCTTCCCATCCACAGGCGCACTGAGTCGTGGCGCTGTCAACAACGCCAGTGGCGTGAGAACCCCGCTTAGCAACATCTACTCGAGCTCTTTGGTCATACTTGCTTTGATCTTCTTCACACCCTACTTCTTCTTCATACCGAAATCAACGCTGGCGGCGATTATTATTGCTGCCGTTATGTTTATGGTGGAAGTGCGCGTAATCAAACCAATGTGGCGCGCAAAGAGTGAGTTCCGAACTCTTATATCCCCATAAAATAGTTAGTCTAATAATAAATGTTTCTTGTATTCTAGAGAGTGATCTTCTACCCGGCCTCGGAACATTCGTCGCTTGCTTGGTTTTGCCGCTAGAAATCGGCATACTAATAGGAGTCGGCTTAAATGTCATCTTCATTTTATATCATGCGGCGCGTCCCAAAATCACCACCGAAATTCTCACAACATCAGCGGGCAATGAGTATCTGATGATCACGCCCGATCGTTGTCTGATGTTCCCTTCAGTAGATTATGTGCGCAATCTGGTGACAAAGCACTCGATGCGACAGAATGTGCCCGTCGTCATCGATGCCTCGCATATTTACGGCGCTGATTTCACTGCGGCCACTGTTATAGAGTCGTTGCTGAGCGACTTCGCAGCGCGTTCACAACTCTTGTTCTTCTACAATCTGAAACCCAGTATTTGTGCGTTATTCGAAACGCTATCGCCGGCGGAATTCGTCGTCTACTATCAGGAGGAGCAGCTGGATCAATTATTGAAGGATCGTAATTATGAGCAAAAAAAAACGATAATGGTGTAGTTGCACCTGGAATTGTCTAGTTATAACGGTAATTAAAAATACATTACCGTTATGCTTTTGTTGGCTGAATTGTGATCGTGCTGAGTCTTGGAGACCCACACCAGAAAATGGTTGGTTAATACTGTTAACTATTCGCTTTTGCTTTAGTTTTATAAATATTACTTGTTGGATTTAACTAGTTTGGTATTTGTAAAGTATGCAAGTTTAATATTTTAAATACGTCCCTAACTTTAGATATGTTTACATGTTAAAAACACACACATTTATGTATTTAATACATATGTATGTATGTATAGCTGCATAACGGTTTTAATTATGTAAGCATATTGTGAAACCGAACAATGGAGTATTATTTTAGTATTGATCACCAAAAATGAAAACAAAAGTCTTGTACGCTTTACATAATGATTTATATGTAATTAAATATTAGTAAATTAATTTAAAGCGTTTGAAAGTGCCTTAGACCTCATTTAGCGTAAATTTAAATTTTCTTTAAAATTTATATTTATTTTATGAAATGCATAGTATGCACGAAACAAGGAATTGTTGTGCATTAAATTGCAAAATTATCAAAATGAAATGTAAAGTATAATAAGAAAGAAACGCCAAGAGTGCTATGTACCTAGTTGTAAATGCGGAACACTTTGAAGTTCGTCGAAAATGTTAAACACTAATCCTTATTTGTTAAACTTAAAAATCGTAAAACTTAAATAATACATAATGAGCGGGGTGAAGATGTTATATAACTAATGCAGCATTCAAAAAAGCACGTGTTATGAAATAATATATTATTTACACAATCAACAAACACGTACTTCATTAATGAGTATGTATGCATGTATATAAAAGTCCTAAAATGCTAGTGAGTCTTACCATTTAAATCTAAATTTTATGTAATTATAGTAACTAACTTAAGCAAATAATCTAAAATATTTAAAAATATAGCGTTAATTATGACTTAAATATTTAATAAGTAGCTATGCAATAAAACGAAGAAGTTGTGTCCTCAAAAATGGCTGATGTTTTTTATTTATGACTTGTAAATCTTTTATTGTATATATTAAAAGCTCTTCTGGATTTGGAACACGCACCACATGTGGTACTACCCTATTTGAGGCAGACAGCGATTTTGCAATCAAGTATGATCTTTATCAAAACAACTTTCTTGCTTTTACTACATTAAAGTCCGCTATTAATACCGTGCTGCAGGGCCGTAGAGAGAAAATTAGGGACCAGGGAGAATATAGGATGCGAACCGCCTGATCCATCAATTTATTGATATTTTACTTTTTATTTTGAGAAAAATGTATGTATGTATATATTAACTTGTAATGATCGAGTAAAGCATAAATAAGAAATATTGATTCAGATTTGAAAAATTTTCTTTTTTAATTGATACTGATCGCTGAGAAGTCTGCGGTAGCATAATTTTATATTATAACATTATATGTAATTATTGTTATAAAATAGTGAGTTGTTGAAAGAAAAAATTTTGTGAAGATATCTTATGAAATAAAAAAGTTTTGCATACAAGGACTTGATTTTTATCAATCAGTTTCTATGGTAGCTATATACCATAGTGGTCCGATCTGAACAATTTGTTCGGAAATTTTAGTGCTGCCTTGGATAATAATCCATACTAACTTTTGTGAAGGTATCTTATCATCTTCTTGGTGAGAAAAGAATGTGTGCAAAATTTCAGATCGGTATCTCAAACACTGAAGAACTAGGTCACGTATATACAGACAGACGGACATTGCTCGTCATTTGTATATATGTATACTTTGAGGGTCTTCCTATAGACGTTTCCTTCTGGGTTTGGAAACTTTATGGCAAACTTAATATACCCTGCTAAGGGTTTATATATGAAAAAGAGTTTGCAAAATATAGTAAATCATATCAATTTGTATATTATTATTTTATATTTACATGGAATTAAAACATTGCTTATATAAACAATGCAAAAATCGATAATACGAGTATATAAATGCTACTTGAAACCTCGAAAAAGTAAAAAAGCACTACTCAAACTTCTTACGACCGGATATAGCGCCACAGTTCGTACAACCGCGGCAACTCTGCATTTTCAATTTGTAGAGAAGTAGCTAACTTGCTTATATAAAAAATAAAAGTCATAATTGAGTGGTCATTAGTTTAACATTATAAGTACGCTGATTTATAAATTTGAGTTAAAAAGTTGTAATTTTAAAATAAGCTTTATTTAAAGAATTTTTAGTTATTTACTGTATCCGAGTTATTTCCAACTAGTGGCAACAAAACATACAATTTTTTATACGTACTGTACATAAACATTGTGCACGTGTGTCAAAACAACTTCACGTTTCGGTCTGCACAATTTTTATATATTAAACTTCTATTTCAACCTTTTATTTAATTAATTTACGTTCCTTATTCATAATGAAGAGATTAGGTGACGAACGGGCAAAGATTCTTTTCGAAAAGTTGTCGAAATAGTGAGTAGATACGAATACCGTAATAAAACAATAATAACAAGTATCAATTGAATTTCTAGTATTGGCACCAATGTAAAGCAACTGATAGATCGTCCGGACGGCACGTACTGCTTCCGTGAGCACAGGGATCGCGTTTATTATGTATCTGAACGTATATTGAAACTCTCCGAGTGCTTTGGTCCCGAAAAGCTTATTTGTGTTGGCACATGTTTTGGCAAGTTTTCAAAAACAAATAAACTGAAGTTTCATATCACGGCTCTGTACTATTTGGCACCTTACGCACAGTATAAAGTCTGGGTGAAACCATCATTTGAGCAACAGTATCTTTATGGCAATCACATACCAAAATCTGGTCTAGGACGTATAACAGAGAATGCCGGTCAATACCAAGGCGTTGTGGTATATTCTATGAATGATTTACCTTTAGGTTTCGGTGTGTTGGCACGTTCCACAACGGAATGTAAGACTGCAGATCCAATGACCATCGTTTGCTTTCATCAGTCAGATATTGGCGAGTACATAAGATCGGAGGATACGCTATTTTAGTTTTAAATGTGTATATATGTATGTAATTTAGAAGAATAAAAACTGAAACATTGAAATCTAGTCGATGTATTAGATTTTATAATGATTTTATTATTAATTATGAATTCAAAGCTTTGACTTTTGTTGAAAATGTTTGCTATTTGCCTGGTTTTTAGCTATCACCTAAGTGAAATAGCAATAAGAATATGTATATATAAGTTCTGTTTTTTAAACGTGAATTGATAATTGCACTTAAACTATTTCAACGACATAAATATCAAAAGCCAATTAGCTGTTTTAATTTAATACTATACTAATTTTTAACAAAAAATTTATAGGGGAAATTAATGGACAAATGCCACACTTGCAGTTGTCAAAACATTGTGATTGTTTTTGTTGTTGAATAATCCAACCAACCAGCTGATAAACAGCTGTAGATTAAAATTAGTAGTCTCTAAAAATTTATCCGGCATTTAGTATCCTAAAGTCGTTTCAGAAATTATGAGTTTTATTAGGAATGGCAGAAGAATACTCTTAGCTGGGATACTGCCAAGTTTACCCGGCGATCCATCACAAAATGACATAGTTTCCAAAGATACAAAAACGTACAAGGCATACCTACAAAACAAACCCGATCTAAATGAAACTGGTTTGGATCGACTTAAGAATATGTTTCAAGTTGAGTAAGTTTAAGAGTTAAAATTAATTCGTATGATGTTTAAAACATTTTTTCCCCCAGTGAATTCGGCAGTATCTCTTCCGAGTTGAACTCTATTTATCAGGCAGGTTTTGTTGGCTTTCTATTCGGAGCTATCTACGGAGGTGTTATACAATCGAGAGGTGCCTATTTGAATTTTATGGAGAACAATCAAGCAACCGCATTCAAATCACATCTTGAGGCAAAGGTTACTTAGAACATTTATATTGCTCATATATTTTGCTAATTATTAATTCATGCAGCGCAAGTTGCAAGATGAAGTAACCATGAGTTTTGCGAGAGGTGGCTTTAAATGGGGATGGCGAGTTGGTTTATTCACCACATCATACTTGTAAGCAATAAACAGTATTGTATGTAACTTGTTAAAGTATATTTTTGTTTTATAGCGGAATAATAACCTGCGTTTCGGTTTATCGAGGGAAGTCTTCCATATTTGAATATATTGCAGCCGGCTTCATTACTGGCAGTTTATATAAATTGAATTTGGGCCTGCGGGGTATGGCCGCTGGAGGCATTATTGGTGGTGTGATGGGAAGTATTGCCGGTGCGGCATCGTTAGCACTTCTCTATGCATCCGGTACTTCAATGGAAGAAATCCGGTACTGGCAATACAAATGGCGGCTGGAGCGTGAAAATATGGTGCACGAAGCAATGAAGGTAATTTGTTTAAATAAATTTAAAGAAACCTTTTTGATAACTTCCTAACATTTATTATTCAGAAACAAGAAGATGAGTCTCACAAAACACCCGGAATTTTTAAAGAGCACGACGAAAAAGTAGGTGATAAAATAACTCTGGAACCCATTAAGTAAGAAATAAAGCGAAATAAAATCGTTGTACATGTTATGTGAATTAAGTGGTAACAAATTAAAATATTTGTGGTACATACATATGTATATTTTATTTTAAATACATTTGTATTGTACATATATCGCAATTTTTAAATGATCAAATACAACTACATTAAAGACAACATATGTATATTCTTAATTGTTAGATAAACATGATCATTTACCATTTAACTATTTTATATGTATATTAATTATTTTCTTTCAACGACAAAACTTTTAATGCAATTGAAAATCACAATATGAATTGTTCGAAAAATATATGGAGAATTGTTACAAACGAATTTAAAAACAATTTCTTATAATTAGAAAGCAGTAATACATGAAAATGCATATTAGTATGTATGCCTAAGACACCATACATCGAAGCATTGGAATATTATTATTGCACACATATGAATATATGTAATTTAATAATTCATATTTCATACTTTTTTATATGTATTAAGTTGAAAATGTTTAAAGTTCAGTTTTTTGAATCCTAATTCAAAGCGAGTTTATCATGAGATGGAAGAATAAGGAAAGCATTAGTCATATTGCTGCGATATGAACATGCAGCTTAGTACTTAATGATGTGACTGCCCTTAAGATAGCTCTTGCGGACGAGTCAAACGTTTTGCACCGCGATTCGGTGGGCCTTTCGGTTTTGCAAACGCTGGTCTGCTGGCAAGTTTTCTAGGATGAAGTTCTTCGAGCAGAAACTCCTCAGTCAATTCTGCACCGCTATCAATTTCCAACTGTAAAAAAGGTGAATATATGTATGTGAATATATTTTATAAAATATATACAAATTGTTTACCTTTTTCACCACAGTCACACCAAGGGTGTTTAGATTATCTAAAAACGGAGCTTTGCAGCTGGAATACATCATACGTTCACGCACCGAACATGTATACCCAGGCATAGAATAAATGAAAATAAATGCCTCTTGATAGTCACCTTCATGAGTATGTTTGAAGAGATATAAATGATAGCGTGCATTTTCTGTTGGAATTTGACGAGGCAAATCAATCAACGACACAACAGCTGCTTTAGATACATGTATACGTTCCTCTTCAAGATCGATTCGAAATTGTAGATAATCATACGAGCCGTGGAGTAAATCCTTTATAGCTATCATAGTGGCGTCAGTCAAAGGACACGCAACTCCACCTAAAGTTTGGTGTCGCGTGTCGGTATTAATATCGGTGTTGATTTCAGTTTTGCGCAATTCTACAAGTTCTTCTTCGCGTGTTGTTAATGGCGCTGGTGCCGCAAAGTCTTGTTTATGCCTTACATATCCTTCAAAGGTGGTTTCTTCTATTGATGTCGCATGTATTTCCTCAGTGATATGTGCTGAACCAAATTCATTTTTAAGTGTCGCTTTTGTAGATGCGTAAACCATCTTTTGTCGTATTGTGGCCGTATCTGGTACCCAGCTCAGCAGAAGCCATGCATATCCCAACGATGTTTTACTATCCAAACGGTAGAGAATGTAACATGGTACATTTTCTTCTATTAATGGCCCTATTAATTTGTCATAGTCTCTTTCCCAGTCTTTCTTCACATCTACTGTAGCAGTACAATTCAATTCCTCTGCAATAATATTATTATCAATTAATACCACTCCACACCCTTTCCGCTTTTTTATCACAAAAAAAAAACTAACCATTTTCTATTGATACCTTTATCACACGTAGCTTTCCATTTTTGCTTTTCGCAAAAACTTTGGTGAGTTTTTCGTTAGCTAAAATAATTTTTTTTTAATTAATTAGAATTATATTATTTCGATATTATATACATATACCTTTTATTCCAGTTTGATGCGACATTTTTCTATTTTTGGCTTATTTTTCAATTTTCGGCAAATATATGAATATAAATTACTCACTCCAACACACCAACAAAAATGTTTACTGCTATTCAGTGCTGCTTCTTTACTTACATTATATTTTAATTATACATTATTCAATTTTTGTTGCACATATTTTAAAAAATAATTTCATCAACTGCGGCTCATAATTATATATTTAATATAAAATAATAGCAATACATTCCTATTTTCTTTGTTTAAAAATTTATTTATTAAAAATTTCTTATATAAAAAGTGTATACAATAAATGTTAGACTTAGCAGCACTAGTTCACAGCTGCTCATATAAAATATTCAGTTTAGTGGCAACGGTAAATAAATGTGATTTGATGTTTTTGTTGTTGCAGAGCTGTCATGGCGTAATTTTCGTTGTTCTGCTTAGAAAACACATATATATATTAAAAAAAATCAAAATTTCTGACTAATTCTTAAAAAAAAAAACAAAAAAGAAAGTGTAAATAGAGAGTGCTAAGCTAAAGGTGATCCTTTGTATTATTGTCTATTTGAACAAAAAGTTCAGATAGTATAAAATGAGTGAATTCTTTAAATCGGCAATGGGTTATTTTAATACAGCCCCAAACGCCAACGTTATTGGAGATACTGTGAATAGTAACTCTGGTAGTGGTACTCCAGCAGCAAATATAACGACAAACGAGTTTTGTGGGCAAATTGTTGAAGTGGCAGGATATAAGCTTCGCGTAAAGCGCATTATTGCAGAAGGTAAGAATAGCTCTATTCGCTAAATTTAAATATGTTAAAAGCTATTGCCACCTACTCAAGTCTTCGCTTATTCTACTAAGAATGAAAAATCAATACCACAAAAATGTTTTACCAGATGGAATTCATGCTTATAAAAGCCACATCAGATTATTAAAAATAAATAAATTTATAAAACAAATTCCAATTCCAAAAATTTGTAAGTATGCATATCTCACACTGTTGTAACAAACGTGCACGTTTGTATAATGTCATAGTTTTATTAAATGCCATTTCTTTGAAAAAATATTGAACTACATATGTATGTATGTATATCAGCACTATCGTTATCTGCAGAAAATACATACGTTTAATATTATCAAAATTCTCCACAAATTTTTAATATTTTTTTTTATTTCTGGTTATCATTTGCGTTTACTTACTTGTAGGCGGATTTGCCTTTGTATATGTCGCACAAGATGTTCAGTCTGGTAAAGAATACGCCCTCAAGCGTCTCATAGGAACTGATAAACAAGCTTGCAATGCCATCATTAATGAAATTAACACACATAAACAACTTTCTGGACACCCAAATATTGTGACATTCGTTGGAGCTGCATTTATTGATAAAACGACAGGACCTCAACAACGTGCAGAATATTTACTACTAACAGAGCTTTGCAATGGTAACCATTTTAATTTAAATAGTCTTAGAAAAACATTTGGTATATTTTATAAAAATTTAGGGGGTTCACTAATTGACTGCCTGAATGTATCATTCGACCCTGCTTTGGTTCTGCGCATTTTTTATCAGGCATCACGTGCGGTGGCTCATATGCACACTCAGACACCACCAATAAGTCATCGGGATGTTAAGGTGCTAAAAATGCTTATCAACGCTTATTGTATTTAATTAACATACATATCTACAGATCAGGTTACGCTAATTATATTTCTATATTTTGCAGATAGAAAACTTTCTTATTAGCAATGATAAACAACTAAAACTATGTGATTTTGGTTCAGCTACTAAGGAGATATTTGCACCCACTATTGAGTGGGGAGCAAAACAACGTAATTTACTTGAGGATCAGGTATACTACTAATTCGTTGTATCTTTTGTATAATCGCAAAAAATATATAGAAATCTTGAATTTTAGTTAAGCTCTGTTACGACACCAATGTATCGCGCACCCGAAATGCTAGATACCTGGTCTAATTACGAAATTGGTATAAAGGTTGATATCTGGGCTTTGGGCTGCATTTTATATGCTTTATGTTTTCAAAAGCATCCTTTTGAAGATTCCGCCAAATTGCGTATTGTAAATGGAAATTACATTCTGCCCACAGATTCTCGTTTTCAATGTTTTCATGATGTTATCAAAGGTACTATTCAAAATACTACTTGCGCTTATGAATAATAAGATTTTTTAATTTTTATTAGGCTGTCTTAATGTAAATCCAGCGCATCGCTTTAATATATCGATGGTGCTAGAACGTTTGGCTGCTATTTCCGAAACGAAAAATTGGTCGCTCAAAGGTGCTCTTGAATTGCAAGGGAAACCCATAGAATCCCCACAGCCAAGAAGTCCGATAAATGGAACAAACCCTGCGAATATTAGTGGCGACAGTGCCTCACTGCCACCACTAAATATATCTAATGTTATTGAAGGTACTAGCAAATCTAGTTTCTATATAGAGGAACCTACTGATACGCTGCCACAAACGCAACCAGCTAATAATTCTTCAAACATACATACAGCTGGTAATGCCAGTACATCAAATACCAGTTTATTTTCATCGTTGCGTGGTGGTGCTGGCAGTTTTCTGAAAAATCTCAAGGACACCTCATCAAAGGTCATGCAAACAATGCAACAAACCATAGCTCGTACTGATCTAGACATCAGTTACATAACATCACGTGTTTTGGTGATGCCTTGTCCATCTGAAGGCTTCGAATCAGCTTACAAAACTAACAATATCGAAGATGTGCGATTATCCATTGAAAGTCGGTTTCCCCCTCAAAAAGTGAGCATTTACAATTTTGGTCCCAGCAACTGTCCACGTTTACCACCGCCTGTGCGTACTGTCGAAGTCGGTTCAATATACGCGTGCCCGCAAGCTCATTCTCCTAGTTTACAAGGTATATACTCGGTTGTTGAGGACATGTACGGTTTCCTAAAAGCCGACCCAAAATCGATAGTTATTGTACAAACGAGCGACTCGGGCGGTTGTTCTGCCGCTACAATAGCTGCAGCACTGCTTATGTATGCGAACTTAATTAATGAGCCTGAGGATGCAGTCCAAGTATTTGCCGTAAAGCGACACCCAATTAATCTGAGAGCATCCGAGTTCCGTTACTTATACTATTTTGGTGATATTTTGCGTCCAACACCACTATTACCACATTACAAAAGTATCAACTTGGTTTCGTTATGCTGTCAGCCCGTGCCGCGCATGACAAAAGCGCGAGATGGTTGTCGCATTTACATGGAAGTCTACTGCAATGATCGACTTTTGCTAAGTACTTTGCAGGATTACGAAAAGATGAGGTCAGTTGGATTATTTTGATATATTTTAAATATTAACAAATAATAAAAAAAAATATTTTAAGGTTATATTTGTCGGGACCTGGCAAGATAACACTGCCCATTAATCTAACTGTTTGCGGCGATTTGATAATTGTGCTTTATCATGCGCGCAATGCGCTTAAGGGTATGGTGCGTCCACAGAGTTT